GTGTGTGTGTGTGTGTGTGTGTGTGTGTGTGTGTGTGTGTGTGTGTGTTTTTGCATGTTACGTGGTTTTGTGTATGCGTGTAATTCAGCATACAAAGAGGAGTTCATGCATGCAGCCAGGGAGAAGTAAGCTTCATTCGCACAGACAAGACAGATGGTTACACCTCTACTATTCCCACACCTCCAGTGTTTCTTCCCCTCTTTTCCCTGCATGCCCTCTGTCACCACAAAGGCTAACACTGCTCTACATGTGCACACAAATGAGATGACTTGCTATTGTTTTGAGTGGGTGTATGGTCCTGAATTTTCCCAGGTGAAGAGAGGCAAACCTTAAGTGAACTAGTCAAGGATCACTCTTGTGCGAGTGGTTTGATTTACAGCCCACTTCTAAGTAGAATGCTGTTTACTGGGCGGAGACCTGATGTATTGACAAGGCTTTTAGCGCTGACATGCTGTCAGGATGTTTTACAGACAAATGTGTGCATGTGTCTGTCTTTGAGTTGGGGGCCGGCACACAAGTGGCCACTAATGTCTCTCCATTTATCAGGGAAGGACGTTATAATGCGAACACGTGAATGCTACTGAGGTGTTAACACTGTCTATACACACAAAGATCTGATCGTTCTGTAACGCTTATGGCCTTTCACACCAAAGCAAGAACCTGAGAAAAATGTGTCTTTGCTGGTGTGCGAGTAGATCAACGCAAGTTATCAGACCTGTACTTTTCCCGTGTTTTAACATAGGTCTGCAACTTTGTGTTTTAAAGCCGGTTGTTAAGGTTAGCCATTTAAGAATTTACTGTGTACTCTGGTGGGTTTTTATTACTTAAGGTAAGGTGATGTTTTAAGTATTTTGGGTCATTACAATGTGAAGCCAACCTAGGTTGTAGTCTGTAATCATTATCCTGTGTCGTATACTGGGTTAGGAGTGACACGGTACTGCACTGTACTTTTAGTTTATTTTTATGTCATCTGTCTGTATATTAAATGTATATCAACCTGTTAAGCCAAAAAAAAAAGGATCTAAATATCCTGACACCTAGAGTGAGGGGAGTAGATGTCTGTTATGTCTGTCATTTTTCTGTCAGAAATTGGCTCCACTTCTCTCAAAGGGAATAATCACTGTTAGTCAATAAAAAAAAAAGTTGTTTTTATTCAACCAGTTAATCAGATCTGTCAAGCTTCATTTACAAAGTATTTCTCATGCAGTGTAGTGCAGTTCCAGGTGTTTCTCAGATCACTGAGAAGCTGATTACAAGGCAATAACCATTAGTAATAAAGATGAATTCATATGTGATAATGAGCCTTTTTAAATACTTAAAGACAAAACAGCAAGAAATAAATAAATAATATAAATAGCTTTTAATTGGAATAAAAGTGCAAATAACATTAAAGAAAAAATACACAGATAGAAAAATTTTAAATAGAGATAAGAAGATAAATAATTATAAAATAGAATCAAATGTACAATTTGAAAAAAAAAAAACAGTCAGTGAATAAAAATAAAGTAATGTGATGGAAAGTAAACATCCAAAATGATAAAATGGTAAGAAAAAAAAGTTTGTGACATCAGTAGCACCTGCTCAGTTAAAAGCCAGGCCTGTCTAGATAGGTAGGTCTATGTTTAAAGATTGCATGACTTCCAGCTGCTCTCAGCTCCTCTGGCAGACTTTTCAGGTTGTGGAGGACCTGAGACCCTGTGCTGGTTCATATACACGAGTGAATCCATCAAGTAAAAGAAAATAATTTTGGAAATTGAGAGGCAGCCAGTGGATAGACTTCAGAACTGGTGTAATGTGCTTTGAATATTTCTCAATCAATTATAGGTGATGCAAAACATTTTTCTATCAGAGCATTACTGTAATCGAGCCTGCTACATAGCAAAGCATTTGTTTTTCTGCGTGACTCAGAGAGCCTATGGCCATAATTTTAGTTCCGTCCTGATTGTTGTCAACACATGTACATCTAAACTGCTCAGTGATCCCTGGTTAGATGAGTGTGAGTCATACTGTGTCCTTAATCGCCACTACATGTTTTCTTTTTTTAACTGACATGTTGGTCAGAGCTCTCCTCCACCATCATAAAAATGTCAAATCCCTACAGCAGACACATTGTTCTCTATTGAATTTATTATGCGTGTTATTGTGTTGTTTTTGGAGATGGGTATGGAAATGTTAATGTCGTTTGTGGTGGCCGTTGCACTTTCTGACACATTTGCTCAGCCTACATTACACCCACTTAAATAACAGCAAAATGACAGCCGCCAGTCAGCTATCATGAAAATGAATATGAAAGTTTTTTTGTGATATTGTGCTAGTAAGGAGGGTTTTTTTTGTCACGTCATCCATCAAGAATAAAGCTCAAAGCAATAAAGATTTTTAATGGTGTCAGCATTTAGAGTACAAATGGCCACATTTGCGACAAGCTTGTAAACGGGCGAGAATATTTTCTTTTTTCCACATTTTTACATTTTTATATCTGCTGCTGGTGACTGTTTCTTTGTTTCTCCAGGCGTGTAACAGTGATCAGTATGTGGCAGTGCCACGAGACGATATGGTCGGGATGCTTAAAAAGAAAGGTTTGTCAAACTCACACAGTATTATAGGAAAGGCTATACTTTCTAAAGCATTTAAGGATGAATCTACAGTCCATTATGTCTGCAGCTGTTTGTCTCACCATTGATAACCTCGCTTCCTTTTCCCTTTAAGAATAAAGAAATAATTTTTTTTTGTAGGACTCCTATCAGACCAGGACAACACTGACCTAATGCACCAGCAAGAGGAGCAGCACGATGACATTTTGACCCCAAAGCTCCCCAGGTATGCTCTTCAGTGTCGCTGGGCCTCCCTTTCAGGGCTGGACCCTGACACCCTGACCTTTCCCGGGGGCGCGCCTATTCAGCTTCACACCGTGCCCCCTACCCTCCTGCCAAGGATCCCTCTCTTCTACGTCTGCACCAGATGTGGCAAGGTGTTCTGGGAGGGCTCTCATTTTGGCCGTGTCCTCTCAATGTTTCAGGAGGTCTTGCACATTTCAGACGAGGACAATGAATCTGCTGCAGAGCCCATTACAGCTGCTCAGCAGAATTGACTGTTGTAGAGTCAGTTCACATGAAGACTTTGGCATTCAGCTGTCTTATCCCGTAGGAACCCATGCCCCTCTGCACATGGAGGACGGTTCCTGTTCAAGTTTCAACACTGACTCTTCCATAGTTTTCCTGAAAGTAAAGTTGGGTCTGGGCTCTTAAAATACAGTAACATTTCCCCACATGTAATTAACTTTAAATAAATTAGTCAAAGTCAAATGGGAAACAATTCTTCTTTTTTATACACCTGGATCAACAGATTGCCTCTCAGTGAGCATTGAATGAAGGCTTTATTTTTGTTTTTAAGCCACCAATTTTTTTCAGATGGAAATATTTTGAAAATGTTTAAATATTTTGTGTTTATAACAGTTTAAAAAATCATTTACATTTCAGACGGGCTATAGAGTGATCGCATTTAGACCTGACCATATTTGTTATAAACTGTATTATACCTAAGAAATGGTTTGCATTGTGATACTTTGAAATCGAAAGAGTTAATTCTTTAAGAAAGTAAACATGTGCATCAATCCTAAGTTTGTTCCATTCAGCAGTTTATGAGGTCACATCCTGTGGAAACTGTTTTTTATTGTTTTGACTTGAACGCCCTGGTAGGTGGCGATAAGGTCAGTTCCTTGGCCGTTTTAGTACCCAGTGGTACGATACATTTTTGTTCTCTGTGATTACATTCTTGTAATATTTAAATGTTTAAATGCGTGTTTCAATAAAGAGAGTTTTTTTCCTCTCCTTTCTTAATGTGTAAGAATTTGCAGTTGTTTACTTTCACCAGATGTTTTTGTTTTCAATATGTTTCTAAATTCACAAAGCAGATGGTAAAGGACTGAGGGTGGACAGATTGATGGGATTATCCGAGCTTTAGTCGTGTCTGTCAGGTGTAGCACGTGTGTTGGTTTTTTTTTTTTTTTTGTTTCGTTTTTTAGTAGGGTCACATAGTAACCCGGCACATACCAGCAGAATCCCCTCACATTTTCTCATACTCCTTCCCACTGTGAATTTGTGTGATTCCAGACAATTAGATCTCCCAAAATGTTCAAATAGGTTTTGGAAACTGCAATTAAAGATTTTCTGATGTTTTTTTGCTGAGGAAAGTACATGAAGCTACACCAGAAGGCTTAGTTAGTCTTTTTACAGTCATACAATCTAAGAATCCCTAACTATAGCCAGATGTGCTCTTAATTTTACTGACAGTAATTTTCAAAGACGGGCCGTACTGTGAATCACTGAGGTAAATGTGTTTTCAGGAACAACGACAGCTGCAGAAGAAAAGTTGGAGGTTGGTATCTCAGGATGAAACTTGATGCTCCAGAACATGCGCGCTATAGCTTGGTTTATCATGCCATGAGTAACCACGCTGAGCTTTCAGATGTAAAGTGTTAAATTTGTGTTAGTTGAAACTCCTAGGACTTGACATGCTGGGAGTTTTCAGCGAGCTCAGCAGCCTAAATTTAACTGCAACAAATGCTGGAAATATACTCATGAGACACTTTATTAGGAACACCTTTCTAGTTTTGGATTGGACCCCTTTCGACTTTCAGAACTGTCTTAATTGTTCGTGACATGGATTCTACAAGGTGCTGGAATTCCATGGAGATTTTGCTCTATGCGAAAGCATCACATCCTAAAGGTGCTTGGATTGAGGATCTGGTGACTCTGGAGGCCATCTGAATACCGTGAACTCATTGACATGTTCAAGAGACCAATTTGAGCTTTTGGACATGTTAATGTGCTAGAAAAAGTGCACAAGATGATGAGTACACTGTGATCATGGCCAACAGCAATACTCAGATGTGACATTTATACCACGGTCAGTTGGTACTAATGAGCCCAAAGTGTGACAGAAATACCCCCTGAACATTACCAGTTCATACAAGGCGGAATGGACCCGTGCTTGCATGCTGTTTACACCAAATTCTGACCCTACCATCCGAATGCCTCAGCAGAAATTGAAACTCATCAGCCAAAGTTTTTCCAGTCTTCTGTTATACTCAGGCTAACCCGTCTGGCACTAACAAAACCACATTCAGAGTCGCTTAAATTGCTTTTCTTCCCCATTCTGATGCTTGGTTTGACCTTCAGTGTGTCATCCTGATCGTCTCCATCCCTAAATGCACTGAGTTGCTGCCATGTGATTGGCTGATTAGATAGTTTCAGTTTAATAGGTATACCTTAAAAAAATTTCTGATGGTTTCTTTGGAAGCCTCGACCAGATGTCCCGTAACAGTCCTCTCTCAGATCCCCTAATTTCAGTTTTTTGGGGATTTAGTTTAGCTCACCTGGTTGAGCAGGTGACCATATGCTGCAAGGCTCAATGCACAAGTGCAGGTTTGATTCTGACCTAGACGCCTTTGCTACATATCTTCCACCATATTTCCTGTTTGAAAAATCTTCACTGTCCAATCAGATAAAGGCGAAAAGATTCACATAATTTAGAGAAAATTGACACTTTAGCTTTTCATGTGTGAATAACAGACCAGCTACATGACTTTAAAGGCCTGTGCAAAAATGTAGGCTTAGGGCTTTTGTTGCAGCAAGTAATCCTACACCATCCCTAATGCAGTCATCTGTAGGGACATTATAAGTGCCGTCACTTCTGAAGAATGTTACCAAAGTGGGTGTCTATGGCAGTGAGTGGGAAGTTAACCATTCATTGTTGTGAGTGCTGGGTGAGATGCTGGTCCACATCAGAATCTCCCTCCTCTGTGTCCTATGGGTGAATCTTATGGAAGAAAGTTAATATAGTTAACTAAAACTAAACCAAAAACTACATGAAAGAAATCATTTTAGACTGAAGATAAAACTAGACTTAATTTGTTAATTTGGTCACATTTGTCAAAACAAGAAGCCTGTGCACCTTTTAGTGCATGTGTTACTAAATCTGGGACGTCTAAGAAGGGACTTTGTGTCAAGTATTTGTTGTCACTGTTAATTTATTCTATTTTTCTGAGCATCTTAAAACAAATTATCCACGAGGTAAAGTCAAAAGTGAAATTTAATTTTTAAAAAGTAAGCTTAAAAATACTCTGTGGAAGCTACCTGAAGCTAAACTGAAGGTAAAAACACGTTGACACATTGCCAAACAGCATAGTGGAATTTAATAGGTACGTTTGAAAGAGCTGTTTTTATCAGTTTTTGTACTGCTTTCTCATAGAGGTTTTATTGGTGGTGTATATATGGGAAGGTCTGGACCTGTTCAAGCTACAGAAAAATTGCAACATGAAAATTAATTTGAAAGTCTAGTTCCCAAGAACAGTGCAATACTGATGAAAAGCTAAATGAAAATATTATCTGAGCATTTTATGCGTTTTCACATATGGAAACCAGCTCTAATAAATCATGTAAAACTACACTTTAAGGTGTGGGGGGAAAGGGCTCGTGATAAACGCATAGCTGATGCTGCGTGAGACCTTCTCCAGAGGAAGCTGGATTAATCCACCTCTGTGACGTGTTAATAGTTTCGAAAAAGATCCACAATCAAGTGCTGCTGAACGAGACCGCTATGCTGGCAATGGTGTAGTTTAAAACGATAATAATATGACCTCTTCTTCTCGAGCCTCCTGGAGTCCAAGCATTTGTTGGCTTGTCGCCAAGCAGCCTGTGCAATAACTACAGTAACATTAAGCTTCCCCGAGGTGTATTTTATTGGTATGACTGAAGCAGACACCCTAACTTCCAAATAAACCCGGTGTGTGCTGTCCCGTCCTTGTCCGGGTGGTCGCAGCCCCTGCCTCTGCAGAGCGCGAGGTTTCTGCTGCAGCACCGTGTTATTTGATCCTTGCTCTTTCTTTGCTGGGAAGAAAAGCTCGCCTCTTTCCCACGCTCTGAGGACACGTGGTGCCCGGAATGAATTGGATGCAGAAGGCCCTCCCCTCCCGGTAAAACGTCACCCCTCTCGCTCTCTCTGTCTCTCTCTCTCTCTCTATTCTCATAAACTCAAGCACGCATGTTTTCAGGTATGAATGTAAAAACAGGTTTAAAAAAGAAATTATGTTTAAAAAAAACCCAACTAAATTTAGATTTATGTTCCCTCCTGTTGTGTGATTTCCCCGTTTGGGCTCTTCTGCAACATGGAACCCAGAGGAGAGACTCCTCCCGGCTCGTCTGGCCCATTGCTGCCCCGGCGTCGGCGCCAAACTCGGGCACCGCGAAGCTACGAGGTCTTCGTTGCTCCTTTTGCGGTGCAGCACTTAAGCCTCTCTGTATTTCGAGGAGGGGGGTGTTATCTTGTTTATCATCGCACGAAAGCAGAGCAAAGACATGGCTGCACAAACAAAACCAGAACAGGCTTGCATTATCTCAATGCAACCGTTTTCCATTTAGGAGTTCTAGGAAAGCTGGCCTCATTGCACCCTCCGTGCCCAGCCGACCGCTCTTCATAGCTGTGCCCCCCACCAAAAAAAAAAACACCTAACAAAAAGTTTTTACATTTTTATTTATTTATTTAGTTGTTTTACCTGACGTCATATTAACTGAACGCGAGAAACTGTGGGGTGGAAAAAAATCACAAGTATTTTATCTCAACTTACTCTGGCAACTTCCCAGGCACACATTACCACGAAAGATTCAAGAGAGAAGTGCATGTGTTGGGGAGGGTCTTCGGGGAGAAACTCATCCAATGGAAAACTTTTGGCTCCTGTAGTCTCTGCAAATGTTTTCCAAGTGTCCAGACGCATTGCAGCAAAAGCTCTGATAGCGGACAGATGTTCTTGATTTTCCAGAAATTGTTTTTCACCCTTCAGTAATCTGAGAAAAAAAAATGCACACATGTACAGTAATGTGCAAACATTTTGCGCACTAAATGTAAAATGAGGAAAACAAACAAATACATAAATTCTTCACAATTCAGGACTTATGCAATAGAGCGTTTTCCAAGGTATAATTATACCTTTGCAAGTGACGGACAACTTTATCCAAACGTTCTGGTTAATTGGCACAAGCCTTTTGTAGTTTGGGTTAAGTCTTTGCACAGCAAAAACACAAATAGGAAACAATTAAACCAACACTTGTATTTTTCTTAAATTATAATTTGAAAAACAACCCACAATCTAAATTTCCCCTCAATCTGATGGGATAGATTTGCTCTGCAAACGGCCATATGTACCCTCACTGACTAATTCTGTCCTATACGGAGACAGCGAAGGGGAACACACGTCTGTTATTGCAGCCTACATCATCGACTTGACTTGGTTATTCACCACGTTTGAATACACCACATATGGGTGACTCAGAGCTGGCTTTGTTTTGAAGCATTTGCAGCTGTGGACCACTTGTAGGAGGTAAAAAAAAAAAAGGCGCACAAATAGTCACCTGCACATGTCCCCAAAGACATTCTGAGTAGATGAAATTAGCTCGTTTTTGCTGTCATTTGAGCGTCAGGTATCTCCATATCCATAAACATAGAAGAGAGTGGCCTAGAAGTCCTTTCTGAGTTGCTTCCAGAATATGCTGCAAAGTCAGCTTTACCTATATTGATAAAAAAAAAAAAAAAGAGACACATTTTCTTACATGTTCAGTGCAAGAATGTTCTCTTGTGCCTAACTACACGATCCCTTAATCGTGTAACTAAATCCAATAAAATATTAGCCTGTTTCATATCCATACTGTGCATCATGCCGGCGTTAAAAGCCGGTTTGCACTAATGGAAGCAGTTAATGTGGTATGTGCAGTCGTGTAGGCTAACTGAAAGCACTACTCTGTGGTTATCTGTGGCTACTAAACTGTGACCCTCAGGTGCCTCATTCATGATTTTAAAGGACACCCTCCGGTCAGCTTAAAAGGGAGAGGAACGTCTGTATGCACCTAATTATCAGCCGCCTTTCCCAAGAATCGCTGTGTCGTCTTCTCCTTTAGATTAAATTGAACAAGTCTGGGGCTTCATCTGTGGGACCTCTGTTGCTGTCTCTCCCACGGACTGCCGCTCCGACCCACAATAGCACGCTCATGCATGTAGATAGAGCCACAGACGTGCGCCAAATGTACAGTTCTGACTGTGGGAAAACCTGATAGTGCGAAAGCCGCCAAACCATCAGAGCGGAAAGCGGCTTGTAAAGTGTTACACAGATGACACGGAGAACGGGTCGCCAAACGGAGCAAACGGTCAGAGAAGGAGGCTGAGCTGCAGGTAGCCTACCTGGTGCGGTTTCTACATAACCCATTTTCTCCGTCTCTGCGTTTATCTAACCATCTGTGTCACCGTAACGCTTATTTATTTGTGCCGAGCCGTGTTTCTGTCAGTTAGTGGGATATCTATCGACACCTTTTTCTCTGCGCCACACACACACTCACACACACAGGCGCCCAGTTCCCACGGTGGTGGGGGTAGCTGAGCGGCGGTGTCAGTCTGTGCAAAGCGTCACCTCTTTTCACTTGCAAAAAGGAAGTAGCGCGGGGCTTTTGTTATCTGAACTCTCACAGTCTAGTCATTTAAAAACAAGTGGACTATATCCGCCGTTTATGATTTAAACAGCCACCTATAATCTCCTCCTTTGAGGTGTTTTTATGCCGGTAGGTATGACGGCGACAATCCACCCGTTTGGGGTTTGTATTTAACTCTATGCCATTTGGTTTGAACGTAATATAGCGTACTTGTGTCGGCTTCTGGTAGAACGGCGTGTACAAATGTCTCCTTGTGCCCCAGTCTAGCATTTGGACGAATCTCATCTTCTTTCTTTGTTGTATTTCACATTTATCCACAAATTAACTGAGGCGTTTGTGTGGAGTCCCACACTCCGGAGAAAGGTGGAACACCAAAATCAACACATAGCCGTAATCCACTCCCTCTACGGAATAATTGTCATTATTTGGACGCTTAAAACCCCCAAATTCACAAGAAGTGATGACAGTTTTTTTTCCAGATTCAATATAGATTCACTTAACTGAGATTTAAAAAAACACAAAAACAAAAAAAAAAAAACCCATTTAACTTATACAATCCTCGATCCATGATAAGAAGTGAAATTCTATCGCCTTTCGAGAGATTTCACCTCCTTTGAAATTCGAAAGAAAATTCATATGAAGGTAAATTTGAGTAATAGACACTCCATTCTTTGAGATATTTTTTTGCGATTAAGACTCATTTGATGTTGTTTCTTAGTAACAATTTTCATCGAGCAGCAATTAATGATCAACTTTCACCGAGCAACACTTGTCAATTCCCTTCAGTGTCCAACACGCTGTCACTGACACCTGACTGACTTTTTGTCGCAAATTCCTGTCGACGACAATCCAGTGGTGGACCTTTTACAGCGTGCCCGATTTCTCAGCAGTTTACAGCGCTGGCAGCACCGTGTCTGTGACTTTCAGTCCGCTTCACGGGGTGGGCTGCAGGAGATCGGATATAGAGATCACCGTAGGATTGCTGCGGGCGCCTTGTTTAATACTTTGCAGCAACATTTGGTTCCCCCTCGGAATACCACGCCCCCTCCCTACAGATTCACAGGACCCTGATCCCTCCCTCAAACCGAATCGGCAGCCTATAACCTCCCCGGATCTCCACCCATTCCTCCACAGTTGATTCTTTGGGAAGGTATTGTCATGCAAATGAAGGACGCGTAAAATATTCTCTCAGAGCGCAGCGGAGGGCAGAGACTCACACGGACCGCAAGGAGGACACAGATCGCGCCACTCGGTGGATTTCTATCGTTTGCGTCGCTAGGGACCCGTCTATCTGTCACAGGTAAGTCCCAAATCTGCAGCGGATTACAGTTCTCACATGTTTAGCGGTAAAATTCAACCAGTGTACCCGTGCGTAAACGTGTGCGCACGGTGGTTCCGCGCACTCATTCTTGGATGTGGCGGAATGTAGGGTCTCTCGCACTCTGTTGGTGAGGATTCTGGATTTATGCGGGCTCCTCTTGTCCTTTTCTTGTCTTTCCCAGACACCCTGGCCACATGAGAAGCGACATATAGCCAGGGAACAGATCGAACCGGTCAAGGAAAACCGACGGGGATCCAACACGCAGGAGGCTGCTTTGTGGAGATAGTGGCCATACTTCCAGTTTTCCCAAGTAAAGTCGGAGGTGTCTCTCTTCTCCATCCCCCTGTGCAGGCTACCTGCTGCTGCTACTGCTGCTACAGAAGGGGAACTATATTCTAAAGTCCCCTGGATCACTTGAGAGCACCCTTCTATTTTCTAGGGGATTTATGATCTCTCAAATATTTACACACCAAGTGTGCCATTTTCTCTCTTGTCCTTTTTGGGATATATGTACACACATATATATGTAAAGTGACCTTTTTCCGTTTTAGTGGGCTACTTTAAAGTGCCTTAACTGGTTATAATCCAGTGTAACTGTGGCATTGCTACCAGACCAGAGACGCTCAACAGGGAGAAGACGATCATTATCAGCTTTAGAGTCCAGGCAGGATTATTTGTTCCCCACCCTCCAGCGAGTTGCAACCATGAGCCAGGCGGATGTGTCAACTTGCTCCGCGCCGCAAAGGGTTTTCCAGGAGGCGGTGAAGAAGGGCAACACCAAGGAGCTGCACTCTTTGCTGCAGAACATGACAAACTGCGAGTTCAACGTCAACTCCTTCGGGCCGGAAGGACAGACGGCCCTCCATCAGTCAGTAATTGACGGAAACCTGGAGCTGGTAAAACTGCTGGTGAAATTTGGTGCAGATATCAGACTGGCCAACCGGGAAGGGTGGAGCGCTTTACACATCGCCGCTTTCGGGGGCCACCAAGACATTGTGCTATACCTCATCACCAAGGCCAAGTATTCCTCTGGCGCCCGGTGATCAGACTCTGCTGTCAGGTAAAAAAGAAAAAGGAAAAAGTAGAAAAAATAAAACAAACAAGCAAACAAATCAACTACAATTTAAATATAAAACTGCAACACAACACACGGGAAAGCCAGGCTCTTGTAAAAGCAAAATAAATAAATAAATAAAACAAAAAAAACCAATAAAACAAACAAAAAAACAACAACAAAAAAACAAAAACTGCCATTATTTACATAGTTGTGCCAAATCATATAAAAAAGGAGATAAAAAATAGGCCTGCACAATAATCTTTCCTCACTGTAAACCAAACGGGGTCCTCTCTGCACTCCCGAGTGAAGCACCGCATGGTTCATACACAGCGCCTCAACACGAATCTTTTAACAAAAGAAACCCATTTCCGTGAGTTTGTTGGTACTAAAGCTTTCCTCTTGAATGTTCGTATTAGATCGTGTCGTCCACTATAAAAGAAATCAAGTCTCTGTGTATCGCATGTGTGTGTTTGGACTCCAGAGAGCAGATGGCCCAGTTTTTTTTCCCTGTCCCTTGAATAGTTTCTTTGTGGGAGCGCAGATTTGACCTGTTGCTCCTCATTGTTCTGTAAAACCCCCTTTTTAAGTTATTTTATATGAAACAGGCACTTGATGCTTTATGGCTGCATGCTGGAATATCTGAAAGGGAAGACACATGAACAAGAGAAGAAGGGTTGCCCTCTGTTGGTTACCAGAGGTCTTATTTTCTTTAAAATTTTTTAGTGATTCTTCTTCATTCTTTTTTTTTTAACTCAAAGAGCGGCATTATGGCTATCCAACACATTTTCAGATGTGTAATCATTATGTAACAACAACTGACTTCATAATTGTTGTGAAGTACTGTACACAATAGCTTTACTTTGTTTCTGTTTCTTTTTTTTCTTTTTTTTAAGGAAAAGAGCGATGAGAGCGCTCTGCAAGCAGATCTTGCCATGCTGGCGTCCAATTTTTCAGGCCAGTGCGACCACTTTGCCAATGGTCATTGTGTTACTAAAAACCGCTGCTTTCGCTTTGTATAAAAAAAGACGCATTTAATTTCACTTTATAATCTCCTTTCAGTATTTTATTAACATCCTAGTCATCACTGTGAAAGCAGGCTGGGTTTTTTTTTTTTAATTTATGAAGGTACATTGAGAAGATGCATTTTTAAATATTTTGTGGTTCTTCTTAAAAACGATCTGTATTGTGTAAGGATATAATGGGTGACTCAAGCTGCTTCAGACTTTTTTGTGTAAACTGTCCCGTGTGGAGGTAAGACCTGCCACCCTCATCCTACTGGCCACAGTTCTAGATACCCCCACCCCCCAGTTATAGGCTGTCGACCCCCCCGGAGAGGACTTTCTCATCCTCCCATTAAAGTGACTCTGTTTGGTTGCCTTTTCCCAGCTACCTCGTCTGTAAAGTATTCTCAAGTCGTTCTGTTTTTCCTCAATACCGCCTTTTTTGGAGTCTGTGATCATCCGCATGCCGATGGGCTGTTTGTGTCTGCTAAAGTAACCTCACAGCCAGATGGACTTCAGTAAAGAAGATGCAATGAACTCATTTTTGCATCCTCCTTCGGGACAGTTTTCACACTACAACCAAACCAGTGCTGACAAGCAAAACATCATTTTGCCTTTTCTGCAAGAGAGTCTGTGGTTCTGTCTGTCTTTACACACACACACACACACACACACACACACACACACACACACACACACACAGAGCCATTGTTGCATGTCTCCCCTATAATACTCCACTTTGCTCTCTCTCTCTGTCCTTATCAGCCTGTATGGTTGTTTTAGTTCCATTTATTTTCTCTCTTTTTTTTAGTCATACAAAAAATGGAATTGTATCGCATGACTTATAAATGCAGGGAGTTTTATTGCACAAAATCGGAGTCTTGAGCGCCCCCAGTGTTCGTATGGGGTAACTGCAAGAGCCAAGGCTTTGGAATAGTTACTACTACTGAGCAGGACCCTAATACTGTTGGACGATGAAGACTTAAAAATGATCAACAACACATGACTATTGCAGGATTTCACAGAAAAGGAAAATTAGGTCTCATAAATTTGCCTGCTGCATTTTGAAAGTCATGGCACCCTAACATTTGTAACGATGCTGCTTGTATGTTTCTTTTCTCGTTAATGTTGATGTTGTTATTTTATTATTATTATTTTTTGTTTGTTTTTAGAAAAAAAAATGCCTACTGCTCAAATGGCCAACAGAGTTTTCACAGCAGCACTGGCTGACCTCATGAGAAGCTCTTGAGAAGGTGTGCACGAGTGTGTTTTCCCGTTAAGGTGTATGTGTTTATGTTTGTGTGTGTGCGTGTTGTGTGTGTCTTCTCATGAGGCACGTGTCCCATTTTCAACCTGGAACAACCGATAATTAACCGAAACAATAGTTCAACTACATTAAGGTATAGATTGGTATCAGGCAACAAATGAAATATGCATCGCTTGTCTTAAACTTGATTTTTTTTTCTCTTTTGTTTGAATATTGCACTGATGACTGTTGTTGAAAAGTTGGCTTTTATGTGTCAACATTTAATTTTTTTTCTGAATAGAAAAAAAAAGCAGACACAACAAAATACTATTGTATAAATATATGCTCCAGGTGATGATGTCCTAATGTGTGTATTACTTTGTGGAAAAAACATGATGTTTTTCAACAAAGACGTGTGTATCTCTGTGATTGGGTGTATGTATATATACATATGGATATATATATCGATGCTGAAGATGATGATATCTTGGGGCACTTTCTTTTCTGAAGTGCTGTCTTCCTGATTTTGTTTGAAAGGGGAATAATACATTTGATGGTAAGATCATTGTAACATAATAAAGAATTGCACGTTTGTGCAGTTATTTGGCTCGCTATGGTCATAACATTTATGACGTAAGGAGCCTGCTGCCGGATTGGTGTACACATTGAGATGATTTTTTTTCTATAAAAAAACAAAAAGAAAAAAAAAAGGAGAAAAAAGAAAGAGAAAAAAGAATGAAAGAGTGCTGACTTCTTTGGGCCAACTTGTGTTTCTGGTCTTGCTTCATTGCAAGCAGGAGGAAACGGTTGATTTTTCATGTGTGATGCAGATGTTCCATCATCATGTCTGATTTTGGAGTTTTTTCGTTTGTTTGTTTGTATTCTTTTATTTTTGAACATTTGTAACACTGTGATGATGACATCATGTCATGTGGAGATGAGTGCTGTATTATTTTTGTACGTTTGTGTACAAGCCAGTAAAGAAATCATTAAACTTAAAATCCGCTGTGTATGCATACATTTCTTCCTTATGTCCCAAGCAAAAGCTACCCGCGCCCCCCTCTCTTCACATTTTTCATTGAAAAGATTGGTTTGGGAAACACCCCCCTCACCCCCACACCGCTCTCTCTCTCTCTCCCTCTTTCCCTCCCTGTCTTCCAAACAGGGCCCAACCCAGATGCCCATTCTCTCTTTTTGTCATTCATCTGGCCTCATCCTTTCACTGCCGGGATAAAGGAGCCCAGTGCATTGTGGGTAGGCTCAGTTTAAAGAAGGGTCCCCTCCCCTGTGTGTGTTGTGGGAGAGATGGTTTTATGTTACCCCCACACACAAAAACTTTTCCAACACACTCTTCTCGTATGCTCTCTTCCTAATGATTAAGACCCAGGCTTTGCACCACACTTCAGCTCTCTGCTAACAACCAGGACTTTTGTGTGTTTGTTTTACCTTACTTAACAGTCTCTTACTCACTATTTATACTCCCTATCAAATTATCTTCTTCAAAGCAAAACTAATTGTGGAGTTAGACTTCTAAGAAGTAAGAAGACTTCCAAGAAGTCCGAGTTGCTTCAAAATCATCCACTTTGTTGAGGCATTTTGCATCTTTTTTGTGATTTTCTTGCAGCTTGTGTTCAAAATAATGTTGCATGAAATGGGCTTAAAAATGAATTGGCCATAAGTGTAAAAGGGGGAACTGTGCTATTCTGATATGTTGACTCTTTTACAAGCAAAATGGTTATGAAAGAGTGTATTAGTGTGTGCATTATGCTCTGATTTCTATTTCAGTTTTTCTTTTTCTTTTCTCCTGTTCATTTGAGTGTTTGAGTGAGTCACATCAACATCAACATCTTTCTTAGAAATGATGACTCGCAACTGATATTGCATAGCTGTAAAGCGGTTGCTGGGAAAACAGAGGCAACGATACTTTTTTCAACATGTCAGACCTGTTCGTATTGCAACATTTTCTGGGTGTTGACCAGCTTCAACTGTGAACGTTTGAGTAAAAAGGGTTTCCCATGTGTTCGAAATAACGGTTGTGGTCTTAGAGTTGCAATTCTGAGAGGAAAAAAAAAGCAGTAGTGTTATAAGGTTTTTACTGACAACTTTGTGCCATTGTTGAAGCAGCTGTTAAAATCGGTGTCTGCACCGCAGCTGAACCATAAATGACCTCAGCTCAGAGTTTCAGCACTGATCTGATGTATTTGAGTTCCTCTAGACACCAGCCCTTCTCTGTTGTGATCCCATGGCAGGCAGAGTGTGTTATCTCGCCTGCTGCTCGCTTGCACATTTCTCCCCAAGTCCCTGCCTCCCTCCCTCTCAGTCTCTCACTTCTGCAGGATGTTTTTGTTGAGCTGCGTTCCCATTGTTCACACACTGAGTTGGCTGGCCTCCCAGCGTTGATGCTGGCTGCTAGGCCCCCTAATAGGTTCTTCATGTGCCTTGGCTTTCCTTGCTCATCTTGGTCATTGCATGGAGAAGCTTGCATTAGTGAGCCAGACAACAGATTTTTGGAGGAATTTTTTGCAGAGAAGGCAGAGAGGGAAATTGTGATGGATAAATTGTCGAGGGAATAACTGGAAGTCCAGAAAACATAGGGGAATCACATTAAAATTGCTTCACTAAAAAATAAACAGGCCACAGTGGTAAAGAAAAAAAAAAAAGGACAGCCTTGTGTCCTTTTGCTTGTATAGTTTTTGTATGAAACACATAGAGGAGACAGTGTTAAAAGCTGGTGGGGTGATGTTATAGCAGCTGCAATCAAGTGCATCTGGGTGATTATTTGCCATCGCTATTCAAAAGCCCATTGTTCAGAGGCTCATAAAATATTCATATCTATGCTTCCACCCCTCATGTGAAGGGATGCACTTAATCTGAAA